TACGTCGCGTAAGACCAATCATATTGTTTGAAATCATTTGCACGGCTAAGGCGTTGACCATTCAACTGATTTTTAGACTAAGTTGACCAGCTGTGGTTTCTAGTTACAACTAGAAATTGATAAGATTAAAGGGTAAGGCGTTACTTTTTCGGAAAAAGGCGTTACACTAAAACATATGGAGAGAACTTTAAACTTTGCTCCAAAAAAGTTTATCCTTTTTTATGTTGTTTTCGATGGTCATGAAACTGGATGAATACAATGAATAAAAAGATGAAAAACACGAGAAAAAACATGGAAATATGAGTGATTTTAAAGAAAATAGTAAACATGCTTTCTCGAGCATTGAAAGCTTTTACAGCTTTGAAAAAGATGGTTTTTTAATGATGTGGAATGAAGATTCAACAGTTTAATGCCTTTCAATTTTAATCAGAAAATTGGTTCAGAAGAAGATATATAGAAACAGGAATCGAGTTTGCAAAACAATTCAAGTTGACTCCACAAAGGTTAATGTTTCTCGAATCAAGTCAAAAACCATGAATTTCATTTATACCATTGTTGCACTTTCTTAATTTTTTAATTTGTTAGATAAAGTGTGATTTTATAGAAATCTCTCCATATATCGAGTACAGGGTGTAACTAAAGTTCGTGTAGGTAGGAGGGCTTAAGAGAAGAAATCAGTTTTTCAAACGAGAAATCAAAACAAATGAAAATTGGTTTCTACGGAGGGGGAATATTTTTTGCCTGCTACACGAACTTTAGTTGCACCCTGTACCCATTTAAAGCAATTTTCACAGTCGCCATCTATGATTTTTTGAAAATTTAAATTGTTTTTAAAATTTGTATAATCCTTTCATTACCAAAATCTTAAGTGCTGTCACTTTCTGAAAGCCATTATCACCAGATGGAGACTGAGAAACACAAGTTGCTTTAACCGGGTACTCGACAGTTTTGCCACTTTGTAAAGCCTTACCGATTATAGTTATTTACTCATAGAGTTACCGTTTTAAAATTGATTTAACAATGTTAATAAATGAGCTTCCTGATGATTGTTTTGTGGAAATCTTTGATTACATTCAAGATTTAAAGGATTTAATTAACTGCTTCAAAGGTAAGTGTAAATTATGCTAGAGTTGGGCGATATTATCGAAATCGATGATATATATCGATATTTTTACAAAAAATATCATCGATAAACTGAAAAAAATATCGATATGATTTAAGACATTTAAAAGATGCTAATTAGCTGCATTTTTGTGTAAATTTCGGAAAATTTTTGAATGACCATAACATTGCATTTTTATATCTCTGCATTCGCTCAAGAAAAGGCTCTTTTCAATGCAAAAGATATAATCTAAGACATTGAAAAGCTCATCTAATGACAACTTTAAAGTCTTTTCAGAGCTCATTATGAGATTATTCATTCAGTAATTGTTTTTTGTTTAGTTTTCATAAAATATCGATAATATCGATATATCATATCGCAAATTTCATATCGATATTTACGATGATATATTTTTCATATCGCCCATCTCTAAA